AATCTTTAAAAAGGTCTGACCAACATTAGTAGCGACATTTTTGCTGAACGGTGGGTTGTACCAGGTTATATTTCGTTTCCGACTCCTTGAGTTGATGTCCTGGACATGGAGACTACAAGTTTCGAATATTCTACAAAGAATATTCCATTACCATCAGAAGATGACTATCACCTTAAAAGATCATAAACTTAATTTCAAAATTAATCCTACCTGTCGCCTTATTAACCCAGCTAAATCGCAAATTGGCAAAGTAAGCAAACAACTCCTTGATCGAATCAACCAAAAAGTAATTGCAAGTATTGGAGTCAACCAGTGAAAAAACACCACATGCACATCTGTGTTAACATGGTTCAATAACATTCCGAACAAAGATCAATATTCATACATTGCTTTTGATGTGGTTGACTTCTACCCATCTATTCAATCGACTTTCTCAACGTAGCGCTAGATTTCGCCTCAAATTATGATGACATCACGGATGATGAAAGAAATATTATTCGGCATGCAAAGAAATCATGCCTATATAATTCTAGAGAACACTGGGGGCAAGAAAACATCATCCAACCTGTTTGGCGTAACTATGGGTAGTTATGACGGGGTAGAATCGTGCGAGCTGTGTAATGAATTATAGCCGAAACTTTGTTTACATAATCCATATATTTCTTCGACAAACACACTTACAAATATACACACTTACAAACATATCGAAAGCGTTTGTTCTCAAAAACAATGTGCTCAGTCACGTGACTGGCCCGAGTTTAGGTTCAGATCGTCGCCTGCGTGCAGGCCTCGTAGTAATGTTCTTTACACTCCCCGGGCTGGTTACTTAATGTAAACAGAACTAATTAATTTAACGAATACAACAATTTTAATTAAAGTAACTTATTCTTCAAGAGTTCTCCTCTTAAAAGTTCATTGGCAATCGCTGCTGCACGTCGAGGTCGACCGCGGTTTTCTCTTGAATCTTCCACAACCGTCAATTTCTCATTTTGGTTCCGCTTGATCTCGTCTACGTTGGAATCTTGACTAACTTCGAGAGGCACTAGATGTTGAATAGACCTTCTTAACACCTCCGATTTTCCGTTCTCGTTACTAACCCTGACCTTGCCCTCACGAACCATTCCATCATCGCCTGATATGAGTTCCTCAATCTTTCCGAGTCACCAGAAATTCCTGTTCGTTTTTTCATTCTTAACTATAACGATATCGCCTTCCTTAAGCTGTTCCGTTTTTTGACGTTTCCCGTTCACTTGTGCATTCTCGCGTAAATTCCTCAAATACTCCTTTCGCCAACGCGTTGTAAACTGACACAAGATTTGCTTGTGACGCCTGGCTCTTTTGGTTAACGATGCGTTTGTGCTAACGATCTCGTAATGTTGGCTGTTTGGTCTTGAACAAATACGTCGTCCGTTAATTAATTGCGACGGTGAGAGGTCATAGGAAACCGATTCTTCGTCGTCGTAAACGTAAGTTATTGGCCGTGCGTTTATTATTCCTTCAATTTCTATAAGCACAGTTAACAGTTCGTCATAATCGAGAGTCGTTCGTCCCAGGATTTCTTGAGAACAATCTTAACACTTCGCACGAGTCGTTCCCAAAAACCACCCCACCAAGGGGCTCTTTCCACGATATATTGCCATGTCACGCCTCGACCTACGAAAAAGTCCTGAACTTCCTTGGATCTACAAATCCGTTCCACGTCCTTGGACGCAGATTTGAACGTCGTCGCGTTGTCGGATATCAAAACCAAAGGTAAACCCCGCCGGCTCACGAAACGTCGAAAACTCAGCAGGAATGCTTGAGTACTAAGAGCTCGAGTCAATTCAAGATGTACTGCCCGAGTTGCGCACATGTAAATAAACAGACATAAACCTTGGAGGATGAAGTCCCTTTCGTTGCGTTCTTTTCGGTAAC